GTTTCATGGCCTTGTTGTTGAAGACAAATCGAGCTCTAATACCAAACTGAAGCAAGAAAAACTTAAGGTGAACAAAAAAACAATGGTAATTCAAGCCAAACACAATCAATAATTAGAAAAACCTTGGGTTTCTTCCCTAACCCAGCCAGGGCTTCAAAAGGCTGGGACTTTTCCTTCCTTTTTCTAAAATAGTCACATGAATGACCACTAAAGGGCCCATCTCCGAAACAATATTTTTAAATATTCTAGGACATTAAATGTCCATACAGTGAGTAAAATGACCCAAAAGTCCTAACTTAAAATTCTTAACAATAATTTTACCCTTGATAAAACAAAATATCCATGAAGAATTAAGAGGTCAATGAGAGGTGGAGAATTTATTTTTAAAAATTATTAAATGACGAACATAATGAAAACACAACAGTAGAAGGAACCGCTGGCATAAGTGAGGGCAGATGTCATAGATACATCTGTAGAATTAGGATATCGAAAGTTAAAGAAGCTTTGAAAATGATGAAGATATGAAAGGCTTTAAGACCAGATGGTATCCCGATAGAGGTTTGGAAATATGTGGGGGAGATTACATTGACTGGTTGACCAAGTTGCTCAACAAGGTATTGAGAAAAAAGAAAATGTTAGATGAATGGAGGAAAAGTATTGTGGTACCTATTTACAAGAACAATGGAGACATACAGTATTGTGCGGACTATCAAGGGGTCGAACTCATGAGCCACACTATGAAGATGTGGGAGAGTAATTGAGCAACGACTAAGTCATGAAATGAGTGTATCAAGAGACCAATTCGGTTTTATGCCAAGGAGGTCAACAATGAGGCTATTTTCTTGCATAGGCAACTGATTGAGAAGTTTAAGGCAAAGGGAAAAGACCTCCACATGGTCTTTATTGATCAAGAGAAAGCTTATGATAGAGTAACTCGAGATCTAATCTGGTGGGTGATGGAAAAGAAAGGAATCGCCACATACTACATTGACTTGATGAGAGATATGTACGAGGGAGTGCTAACTAGCGTGCAAACAACTAGTGGAGAGACGAGTGAGTTTTATTAACAATTGGTCTGCATCAGGAGTCAGCGTTAAGCCCATACCTCTTTGTCTTAGTTTTGGACAACTTTGGAGGGATGCTCTAGAATTTAAAGGTATTAGATTAGCCGAACTAAGACAAGAGTTTATGGAATCCGAGTTTAGTAATAGTAGGAGTAGGAGTAGAGATGAAGAAGTAGTTAAGATTGACAGTCAAGAAATACCAAAAGAACGTACTTTCGATATCCTGGGTCAATAATCCAGGAAAATGGTGAGATTGAGAAAGATGTCATACATAGAATTAGAGCTGGGTGGGTAAAGTGCAGATGTGCAATTGGAGCTTTATGTGATCCACGCATACTAACAAAGCAGAAGGGAAAAACTATATGCCAACTGTGAGACTAGCTTTGCTTTATGGGGTGGAATATTGGGCGGTTAAGAAAAAAAACATACCCATAGGATGAGTGTAGCATAGATGAGGAAGTTAAGATGGATGAGTGGCAAGACAAGAAGGGATAGAATTCGAAATAAATACATTTGGGAGAACTTAGGTATGGCTCCAAAAGGGAATAAGATGAGAGAAAGTAGACTTCGGTGGGCTAGCCATGTGCAACAGACCCAATACAACACTTATTAGGAGGTGCGGGTTAGTTCAAATGAAGAGCGCAAAAAAGGAAAGGGTAGGCCCAAAAGGACATGGTTAGGAGTAGTGAGAAAAGATATGGGGACTTATGTCCTCACTGAGGGTATGACCGGTGATAGAGAAGAAAAGCGGACTGGATTCGTGTAGCCGACCCCAAATAGTTGGGCAAAGGCTCGGATGATGGCGATAAAACAAAATTTCCCATAAACACTCTAAATACATTTCTAAACAAATCCTAAAAAATCTAAAAATATAAAAAACAAAATCCCCATAAAACTAAAATGCTAAAAATAAACCCTAAAATTAATATCAAATATGCATCCCTTGATATTAAACAAAAATTAAAATATGAACAATTTTGTCCTACATCAGTCAGGACAATTGTTCCGAGTATGATCTAGCAGTAGTTCCGAGTATGATCTAGCAGTAGAGGAACTTAATTAATTGCACCCGGGAACCTCGATTCTTAACTGAATGATCTCTATCTAGGAAATTTAATTACTCGATCCGAACTAGTTTGAGATCGCGATCCCTACGTAGGAATCGAGTTCCTTAAATTTAATACAGCACGCACATAGATCCCTATCATAAGGAGCTTTCGGGCAGCCTCGAACCATTGTCGATCATGTTCTCAACAACTATCAAATCAGAGTCCTTGCACATCAAAGAGAAGTTGGGATAGACACGCCTCTCTTAAACAAATGATCTAACTATCAACACCTTATTCGAGACTACAAGCCATGAAGATGAATAACTCTTATCGTGACAGGGGGTGGACCCAATTCCTTGAGACTTAGAGTTTTCTTCATAGTGATGGTATTATACATTGACCTCACAAAACTCTTCCTTGGAATCTCAATTCCATGTCCTCATCTCTTGGTGAGAGAAAAAAGCTTTTGCAAACCTTTTGTAACCTAATGAAGGCCTCAATTTCATTATTTTTGTGTGTTCTATAGCACAGGGGACCAAGTAGCTTGTGACCTATTGTTTCTACCACAGTTATATTTGGTTTTAGAGCCAAGCAGAACAACTTTGCATGACTAGATATATTTTTGTGTGTTCAATAGCACAAGGGACCAAGTAGCTTGTGACATATTTGTTTCTACCACAACTATATTTGGTTTCAGAGCCAGGCTGAACAACTCTGCATGACTAGATATATTTCTTTCAAAGGTTGTGACACAATCCACCTATCAAACCAAAACTGCCAAAACTGAGTACACCTACCATTTCTCACCTTCATTCTCACCTTTACTGAAAAGTTCAATCAGCAGTTATCACTACCATTCCACACCCCTGGAAGTCTTCCTCCAGTTAAGCATCCTTAACCAGAAATTATTAATTGCATTCCACACCCCTAAAAATCTTCATCCAATTAAATATCCCCTCACCAACTTCCCTGCTTCATCTACCCCATATCACCTGCTAGAACGTTTCGTGATTGTGCTACTCTTTTACTATTCTTTTTTGATAAAATATATGAATATAGACCTATCAAGTCAAACCTAGACAATGAAAACCAACTGGACTCACCATAAGAGTAATTTAGGGTTTTAAAGCATCAGAAGGTGTGTATCCATAACCCAAAGTGTGTCTATAGAAACGTATTGAAGGCCAGAGCAAAAGAAGGCCTATGCCTTTCTCACTGCACGATGTCACCGCTTTCACAAATACCTTGTGGCAAACATCTAGTTTCATTGACAAATGTAATATACTCTAGCCCACTCTAAGAGTAAACTTCCTTTATATTTCCTTTCAATCCCACAAGCTAAGTCACCATCAAGCACAATCCATTGACCACATATGACATGCTCAATTACATTATTAGCCAGCCACTCACTAAAAGAATGTTGAAGTCATAAATAAACTAACATAATTTTGAAGTCATAAAATCAAGAGAGAAGATCAAATAAGGAGACGGCCCCTCTTTGATACAGCCCATCATTTCTTTTATTATACATTCACTATCGGATTCCAAACCCCCCACACCCCCATCAGAGGTGGAGACTAAAAGGTTTAATACTTTACTAGGTAATCTGGTAAATCAGGTTACTCCTTAACCCAAAAATCAAAGGCCCATGCTTTAATGTCTCAACTCCCCAAACTTATCTTTATGAAACCTCAAACCTACTTTGTCTCTATCCCTCTTATTTTCTTGTGCAAATCCCAAAGGGAAATCTTCTCCCTCTCAAACCTACCCCAAACTCCTGCTACCCTAGACATCCCAGGCCTCAGGGAAACCTTGCCCATTTTTCATCTTCACATGTGAGTCACGATAAACCATATGTTACTCCTTTTTAATGTGAACATAGGAATTTCCACAAAGAAATATGTGAATTTCCAAAGTATTAATGTTTTGGGTCTTTTAAAGATTAATAAAGGCAACATAGTTAGTCAGCATTTTTCGAAGGAAAATGTTTTTATAGAGCCGAGGCTCTAAACAATCAAATTAGAGCGCATCTCAAAAATTTCATTAGAAGAGTTAGTTTTGATGCCCAAATATCGTCAAATTAATCATCTGGATATCAAGATGCATGGACATGATAAAAATAGATTTCAAGTTTTGGAAATAGTGCATCTTGTAATGCATTTTTGGACCATCAATTTTCAAGATTTTCAAGTTTTCACAGATCTGCTCGATCGATCTACACTATTTTTTAAGCTTGAAATTTTATAATTAGAAATGAAAATATATTTTAATACCATCACAAAAATTTCCAGTATTAAAACCACATTCTCGACACTATTTGGAGGTGTGCTATACTTTGATTGTTTAGAGCATTGGCTCTATACAAACCACACCCTTTTTTTTAATAGTTTACAAATTGAATAGAAATGCAACATGACTAAGAACAATAGAATGCTTTCCAATTGGAAATATCACTCAAGCAACAAACCCTCAAGCATTATCACATAAATCTGGAGTTAACATTTCAGAAGTTTCATGTCCCAATTGAACTCTCCCTCTCTATCCAGAGAGAGATAGAGACAAAACTACGGGGTTAATTCTGGGGAAACAGACGAGTTAGATATGTGAAGAATTAAGTCTTAGTGAGGGCCTGCTTCAAAGGAAAAAGCTGTCACATTACCAGATATTTCCCCTAAAATCAGTGATATATTAAACTTCGATAATTCCTGAGACAGGGTTCCAAGCAAGAACTAATTTCTATATGAATTTGGTAGGATAAATTTGTGGAACCAAATAATTAGGAAGCCCTAATAAGAGTTCAATCTCTACTATTCATGGAGATGTGAAAACACCAACAAATAATAATAGGAATTTCAACTGATAAATGGTTAGAGAGAAAATAATCGACCTCGAGCTCGGCCGATTTCATGGCAAGGGGGATACAGATGAGAACGATGCCAGCCATGGCTATGGCAGTGTTTCTCTTCCAGTACTTGGGCCTGCAGTAAGGACCTCCAGTCATGCTCCACACCTTGGTCCTGTAATCAACATGAGCTCCATCGACATGACCATGGTCTCCACCCATTCTCTAAAACCCCAAACGAAAAAGAAAACAGAACAATATAATCAGCGGCAATGTCTTGTGGAGTGAGAAAGAGTGAATGGAATTACAATCCAACTGGTTAGAGAGAGATTCGAAGTGGTTAGAATCCACCGCATAATTGGAAGCAGCAGGAGAGAGAGAGAGAGAGAGAGAGAGAGAGAGG